AATGTTGATTACAAAATTTTATAGTAAAAACAAGTTGTTTTTCTATTTTTGACTCGGCAAAAAATGATACAAATAATTACTACCAAGAAGAATACTTAAATACTTTAATACCAAATGACCTTCTACCATACATGTTTGTTGCCAAGTTTATTATTTCTTACCTATGTTAGTGTCACCGTTTATATAATAGACTAAGTTAAAATTGATCTTCCATTGTATATAGATTGATATTTAAGAAAATATGCCCGTCATGCTACTGAAAAACTTAGATACGTCGAATAGATTATGTAATAGCACGCATATAATGTATAGAAGTTTTGACAATAATGTCATATATGCAAAAATTACGATACTGGTCAATGTGCTTCTAAGTATATTCTTATCCCCGAATTCAACTTTCGTCTTCCGAAACTAAGGAATATCCTTTTAAATTTGTGTGAAAATAATTTTTAGTATGTTTATGTTTTGCAAATATAATATAATAAATAAAGTACAAGGACAAACATACTAAATATTGGACTATATTTACCGCAATATATCTTGCACGAACAACTGTATATTTCACTTTCAAGAGAGATATCAAGATCGATAACAAGAGTTCTGGTTAAAGCAGAGCAACTAAAGCATTAGGACGAAACATACACAAAAAAATATTGTCCACAAAGAAGTGTTCGTTAAAATATCATCACATTAAATACTTTAAAACTATAATACACAATTTTCCAACTAACATGACAAAATTGATTATTTGTGTAAGTTTTGATAATGTCCTTTTATTTTAAATTCATGTATTATGCTAATGTAGTAATATTTTTGGGCATTTAGACGATTGTTGTATTATTATACATAAAATTTCTCTCATTAATTAAATTTTATTGTTCCTTCATATAAATAAATGTTTATATCATCACGTGTCATTATTAACATGCATCACACGTTCATAGATACTAGTAGAGTGATAAATTGATAACTCATAAATCTGGATTGTTAAGAATATCTGCACTTGACTTTGTCAGTATACCATTGTTTGATTTACAGTTTAAACCCTTCCATAAGCAGTTCAATGAACCCACTTCTCTTTACTTATATTTTATTCAATTGAAACTTATTTTTTATTTCTGATTTGTTTGCTTGTCATTGCCCTTTCCCTTTATCTTTCCTGAGCCAAGGGTCTACCGGAAACAATCTCTCTGCCTTCTTAAAGGTAGGGGTAAGGCCTGCGTACACACTATCCTCCCCGGACTCCCCAGACCCCCAGACCCCGGTTGCGGGAATACACTGAGTTTTTTGTTGTTGTTGAAACTTCTTTTTTATACCTCAAGTTTGATGCTTCATAAGTTGACTCAGGTTTCAGCTCTTGTGGAATACACAATATTGATTAACACGCCACAGTTAACTAATGTTTTTGTTGATGTCACTGCTAGATATTCTAAATATAATTGTTAGCAAAACTTTCATTTAATTTTGTCACAAGATGTAATTTCTGATCAAACAACACTACTCTAGTAATGTCATAGTGGTTCTGGCCCCAGGTATGCCACTGCTATTACTAGGATTACTGGGATTTCTGATGTTCTGTTATATGAATTGTGCAGGTTTATCTTTGTGAGAAGATGTCCCTTGTGAATGAAATGTACTTCTCTATTATACTTGATCGTGCAACTGCAGGCCCAGTAAGTTTCAAAACTTGCTTGGGCAGTTCAGCGTACTCCCTGATTAATGTTAATATTTGAGTTTGTTCAAAATTCATAATGCTGCTTATTGTTTCCATTGCATCACTTCATATTTATCCAACACCATGGTGAATACCTAAAGAAACTAAAAGTGGAAAGTTAGAAAGAATGAAATAGTCAAAAAAGAGGGAAAAGGAGTTTTCTTAAATAACCTTATTTCAAATAGAATGTTTATCCATCTCAGTCCATGTCAAAATAACGTCCACTTTATTAGAAGGTCAACTTTCAGGCATATTATCTTCTACAGAATAGTCATATGTACATTGGCACATCTCTACTATCATATTCTTCGATAACAAAAGTACCATCTTGGCATTTTTTCCCTTTATTAAAACAAGTGAACATAGTACATTTTCTAACCTTGATTTTGTATAATCATGCAAAGGACAAATAAAAACAATTCAATTTGTAAAGGAAGTATNTTTGAATATCTTAGAAATGCTTTTAGGCGCACACTTAATTTATTTTATCATGATTGTGTATACATTTGCGTAACATAATTATGATGTCCAAAAAATTAAATCAAAGTATGCGTTCACGCGACTTTGGCCGAACAATCTTAATAACTAATAAAGCGTGATTAATAGTGTACACATACGTGTGACATTATTTTAAGCGCCCCAAATAAAATGGATTTACACACATATGATCCGTTTCAAAGATTAAACCCATAAACGCCATGATTAAAAGCGGTAAAAGGTTAAATAATCATAGGTTTTTAAAAAAATGAGTAATAAATAATTTTATTAAGCCATGTATGATTCAAAGAGACTTTAAGTTCTTATATAATTAAATGGTTATGAGGGGCTGTTATCTCCAAAAGCCTAATTGGTACTTCTTTTAGTAATGAAGTTGAACAGGTAGATACTGGTAATTGCATTAAAATCAACCTCTTAGCTAAGCTGCTTGCTCTTGCTTTCTGTGCCACAGCTCATAATTGCCTGTTCAAAGGGAGGTACCAGTATTGAAGACCTGGCTGAAAAATTTCCTGACATGATTATAAAGGTTGCTTTTGCTTCAACGTTCAAATCCAACCTCTTGCAATTTTGTTTCGTGCTATTTTTCTCAAGTAAAAAGTTTTTCGTTCTGTAATTTGCAGGTTCCCATTGATGTGTTTAGAGGAATCACTGACGAAGATGCTGCGAAGGTCGTCGATGGTTTGGCTCCTAAAGTAGCTGACAGAAATGATTCAATTGAACAAGTGAAAAAGTTATATAAAATGTTCTGTGAATGTGACTGCACAATGTTAGAGGTAAGCAGTTCATGAATTCTTTAGGGCTTTCGTAGAGCCAACTGTTCCACATGTTTAGAGTTTGTAGAAAACGTGCCTTTAGAAATTTTCTTCTCCCTATGTCCCTCAATCTGTACCGGTCTTTTTTGGGCACTTGGCAGATCAACCCCCTTGCTGAAACATCTGATAAGAAGTTGGTAGCTGCTGATGCTAAGCTCAATTTTGATGATAATGCTTCTTACCGTCAAAAAGAAATTTTTGCTCTCCGTGATTCATCACAAGAAGATCCTCGTGAGGTACTCCTTCTACTTTCTTTTGAATGATGACATGCTTCTTTTGTCCTACGCAAGTATATACAAGTTTTCATTTTGGGGCTGACTGTTGTTGTTTAACTCAGGTTGCTGCTGCAAAAGCTGATTTGAACTATATTGGCTTAGATGGAGAAATTGGTTGCATGGTGAATGGCGCTGGATTGGCAATGGCTACCATGGATATAATTAAGCTTCATGGAGGGACTCCGGCCAACTTTCTTGACGTTGGTGGTAATGCCTCTGAAGGACAAGTATGTCTAATTTCTTGGTAGTACATCGTGAAGAACACTTGTGGTCATGTTATCATCTTTCCAGATATTGTTCTTAATAATGACAAATTAACACTTCTCTATACATAGAAATAATAAATCAACATTCGTTCAGAGCGAAGGTTCAGTTTTTGGCTTAAAAATGTGTTGATTTTCTTTCAAAAGTTTAAAATTTCTCAGTACCTTTAACTTTTTCTCTTGTATTCAAAGTAGGTTGTGGAGGCTTTTAAAATTTTGACTTCAGATGAGAAGGTAAAAGCAATCCTGGTTAACATCTTTGGAGGAATAATGAAGTGTGATGTGATAGCCAGTGGTATTGTCAATGCGGCCAAACAGGTTTGTATTGTTTTAGCTTTGGTGATTGATTAGGGTTGTGTAGATCAAAGATGCATTCTCTTTCAAAATCGGGTTTTGGTGTCTGCCATATTCCTCGCCAGACATCGATAATGAATGGCTCTTTTTACTGAACCCCGTTTCCTGTTAATGATTTGTCTTTTCTGGAGTTCTTTTAGCTCAACCTTTCCCCCCTAATGAAGAAAAAAGAGAAAGAGGAGGAGAGGATTAAAACGTATAACTCCATCTATGACCTTGAGACTGCACGAAGCTTCATGCAAATATGCTGATTCTTCCATTTTTTCTTAAGGTTCAATTGAAAGTGCCAGTGGTTGTTCGCCTTGAGGGTACCAATGTCGAACAAGGGAAGAGAATACTAAAGGTAAATTCTGAATTTCATCCTCTAGGCAGGAACTTATTTTCTGCACTTGGCAGTTGCTAATTATTGTTTCATCAGAGAATTCAGTCTCAAGTGGTAATTGCTTTCTGCCCTGGTTTGTCTGTGCAGGAAAGTGGGATGACCTTGATAACTGCCGAAGATTTAGATGATGCGGCTGAGAAAGCAGTAAAAGCAACTGCTAGTTGAGTGGAAACCAATTTTATTGTTTTATTTATTTCATAGTCTCTCCCTTTTTGATAGGAAGCATCTGAATGTCCACATTTCAAGTGTACAAGAAGAAAATAGGGATTAAATTCTTCTTGATAAGACTTGGAATAAGCTTGGTGTTATTCAGCTGTGACCGTTACTATCGTTCCTATTGATCCTTATCCCTCTGATTTTACCCTTTCTTTATTCATGATTGTGTTGTTCCCAGCTTCTGGAACTTTGAGAGTATCCTAAAAATTACTGGCCCTTAGAACCATATTTTTTTGTGGTCTTGTCGATAAACTTAGAATAAGCCTTTTAATATCTCCCAGTTAGCCATGGGAACAGTTATTATACATGAGTAAAGTTGTTCAAATTGATTTGGTTCCTATCCAAGAAATTCAATTGTTGCGTCTAGGTAAATTGCTCCACTTACTTTATGAATAGGGCAAGCATCTTTTTCGGCGTAATCTAGTTTCGTGTGCTAGGCAGTGGTTGAATTTGCATGGAGGTGGATAGCTATCATTGAATGCAAAATGGTAACAGTTTAGTTGCAATTCTGTTTTCAGTGCATCGGTTGAAATTGAAATGGTAAATTTTATTTCCCAGATAAGATTTATTCTGGGGTGAGGGAGACACATTTATGTCATTTACATATGTCTGAAATTAGCTTTTCTTTATGCATCGACTCTGCTATTCTCTTGGCAATGCAATAAGCAGTGGACTGTATAGTGATCATTGGGTTGACACCAACTGCAGTAGGAAGCACACTTCCATCGCATACATATAAGCCTTTCGCTTCCCAGCATTCTCCATTCTCATCCACTGCTCCATCTTCCTCATTCGCCCCCATCCGGCAGCTTCCCATTTGATGTGCAGAGCCATAGATTGTCCACTGTTCTCCTTTAGAGCTTGGCCCTCCAGTAGCTCCAACTGTGTCCAGAAACTGTTCCAACTCTTCATTCTTGATCCCTTTACAACTGATTTTCTGGCCATCGCTTCGATATGTTCCCACTTCAACAGCTCCTGCTGCTACCATGATCCTCAATGCCCTTCTTAAGCCTGCTTTGATGTTCTCTTTATCAATTTCATCCAGTCTGTACGTTATCCTCCCTGCCTTCTTTACTTCTCCTGAACCTTGATCTTTTGCCAATGCTAACAGATTTACTGTTCGTGAGTACTTTGTCATCCTCTCCTTCATATCCTGCCCAGAAGTCCATGGGAAAAAGCAGGCGAAAGAAGCAGGTCCCAGAGCTGTAGCTTCTATTATGGCCTGTGCATTAGTTTCTTCAGGCACCATCTTATGAAGGGCTGTCATTATTCCTCCCTCATAATTCTTACCTTTGAATTCAGACATGGATTCGGGGAAGTATCCCCACGCCAAAAGAACAGGGTGGAGGTGGAGGTTTGTCCCAATGTTCTTGTTCTTCAGTCCACTGGAAATCAGTAAGGGAGGTGTCAATAGAGATCCACAGGAAGAAATCGTGGCGCGAGCTTCAATGTGCAGCTTCTTAGTGATCTTCCTGCTTTCAGTTGTTGCAATAACTCCAATACATCTTTTCTTCATCTTCTCATTCATGTTATCTTCCAGTATGAACCTTTCTGCAGTGCATCCAGTCAAGATAACGGCGCCTGCGTTAACAGCATCAACAAGCCAAGTGGTATCAGTCCCTTTCTTGTCTCCTGTTTTACAACCATAACCACAAGAACCACAATAATGATTCTCTGAAGAATTTCTTGGTATATTTTCCACCTTCAAACCAAGATTTTCACACCCTCTTCGTATTACTTGATTCTGAAGTCCTTCGTTGGAGCAATTCTCCGTCACACCAATCCGTTTGCAGACTGCATCCATGGCAGACTGATATTCAGAAGTTCCAAACCATGGAATCTTGTGCTTCACAGACCAGTCATTGAGAACATCAGTTGGAGTTCTAATGGAAGCAGACCAGTTTACAGCTGATCCACCACCAACTGTTGTTCCAGCCATAACCATTACTTTTCCATCAAGAGTACTAAGCATTGCACCTGACTCATACAGTTCATTCATAGAAGGTCCTTCCAGACCAGAATAATCTTCTGGCACAAAGTAATGACCTTTTTCGAGCACGACGACTTTGTGACCTGATTTTGCAAGGATTGCTGCTGCAATTCCTCCTCCACATCCAGAACCAACAATCACAACATCACATCTTATCTTAAAAGTGTTGTCTTTTGTATCCTCAGTAAGAGGAACACCTTTCTTGGTTAAGGATTCTTTCAAGGTTTCATCACTCTCGTTTATGGTTTCCACAATCCCTTTTTCAAGTGGTCTTTCTTTATGGTATTCAGATGGAGTCAGTCTTGTGTCTGGATGATACCCAATAGCTTCCCATGCTGGATTCTTGAAATTTTCATCAGTCTGCACAGAACCAACCAACCAAGTATGCTTAGTGAAGAATAGTTCCAACATGTTACCATCAAAAGGCAAGAAAGTGTAAAACCAATTATTCATTAATACATTCATAAACAGAAACAAGTCCAATAATTGAGGCTTATCACTAATTTAATCCTTTTATCCAGATTCAGTTCCTTTTCTAGTTTCGGATAAAAACAAGGTCATTATCTTGAAAAAGTATGATGGGCTATTAAAATATTTTAAAAGCATGTGCAATAATTAAGTAGAGCAGAGAGGAGCATTACCCATGAGAAGAAGATGAAGAGACAGATAATTTTGATCAATAAGAAAGTAATTCTTAGTGGAAGGAGAAAACTCTCTCTGGACCAGCTTTGCAGAAGTAGTTCTCTTTGCTTTAAGGATAATTCAGAGAAGTTGTGAACAAAAGGCCATCTTTTATCCAAGCATACACGTCCACAAAGCACAAGACTCCCTAATCTTGTTGATAACATAAACACAACTATCCTTATTATGAACATTGCCTCAGCCTTGCTCCTCTTCACCAGTAGCTCTGCAACCTATAATGGAAGATATAGCAAAGAACAATGCTTTATGTTACACACAAAAAAACCCATCATATTAAAAGAAGAATCTTGTTTGTCTTTTTCATGAGACAGTAAACAGCAAAAAAAAGAACTTAGAAAAATTTACCTCATTGGGGAATGGAGGCTGAGAACCAGAAGAAGAAAAGATTGAATCTTGATGATCATATAGGGGTGTTGGGAGTGGAGGAATGATAGTTTCACAAAAGGAAGCAATAGTTTGGATTTGAGAAGAAGAGAAGCCATGGCTATAAGGACTACTAATTCTTCCTCCTTTCAATGAAGAATGGGTCATCTTTTTTTTTTTGTTTCTCTTGAACTGATAATGCTTTTGTTTTAGTCCCTCAGCTTTGTATTTATAGTCACTCCTTATCCTTGTTGTTTTCTTACTTCTGACTTCTGATTTAAGATTTCTGTGGTTTAGACTTAGAATTATCATTGGTTTTGACGTCTTGTTAATTTAATTTTGATACACTTGGGTTCCCTTTTCCTACTAGACTATTAATTCGATGTTGATATGGCATTAATGAAGAAATTTCAAGTATAAGGATCAAATTTCAAGGAGCATCAGGGACACCAATATAGAACATATGGAGTACTTATTATTTTTCCTATTTCGAACTACAAAACATGAAATTATAGAATTTTACACGTCTATGAAAATTACTTACTAGCACATGGCACTTACATTAAACTATATTAACTTATCGATTATGTAATAAAATGAGGTTAAAAGCATATTACTTAAATTAGGTTTAATTGATAAACGTTTAATTTCTCTTGTACTACTTTCAATCTTTCACGTTAACCAAAAAAAAAAAAAAAAATGTTTTCAGCAACAAAAAGTGGTTAGAACCAAATTACTATAGGTGCCTTCTGTTCGATGGAGAGAAAAAAAGGCAAGTTACACATTTGGCCGGTCGGTAAAAATAATAATATTTACTAGCCAAATATATAAAAAAACATGTATATTATACATTAATATACAAAAATTATATATTTTGTCGGTTATTATTTTTGGAAGCAACTATACCTTGTAATTTTCCCCCAAAAAAAGACTCACAAGAACAACGGTGTAAAAGTCGCAAACTGACGAGAATGCCTCCATCTTATGTTTCTAATCAATCCTTTTCTAAGTTGTTTTCTTTTCTAAATTGCGACTTTCTGATTTGTGTACGGGATAATCTCATCAATGAAAAAGAGATAATTTTCTCGAAGGTCAGAAATAGAAATAAATTTGATTTTGACATACGAAATTTTGTAGTTGAATTTTTTAAATTTCCTATGGAGGTATACGGTTTTATGTTTTCGGATATTTAATATAATTCAAAACTTAGGTATATCATGAAAGTGAATTTTATAAACGGGTATATCATGTTAGTATTAGAGTATAACAGAAAGTACCAGAAATGATGAGCAATGTTAAACGTGGATTACAATTCTAATACTCCAACTAATTAGTAGCCTAGAAGGAATAGGATCCCACCTGATAATAGGCCAAATCTAGGTAATTTGGCGATTGTTTATGCTCCCGCTTGATTATGTTCCAATGTCATAGTATGGTTAATTGATTAAAACTGGGCTCTGATTGTGAATTGTATATATTGCAGGACGAGGAGCCTATGTGATGCCTTAAAGAGGTGATTGGAACTATTTTTAGAGCAAGAACGACCCCTCGGAGCTGAGTAAGCACGAAGACGAGGAAAAGAATCAAGGAATTAAAGACCTGGGCTAGCACGCCCAGATGCGCGATCGCACTACTTTTAGCGCGCCCAACATAGAAAGTCAGCCGACTAGCGCGGCCAGATGCGCGCCCAGGTGCGCGACCGCGCTAGTCCAAGTTCCGGAAAGACTTGTTCAGGGGTATAATTGGAAATCTGGAGGAAATCCCACTTAACCTATATAAAGTCAAGCTCGCCCAAGGATTATTTATCAAGGTTTTCATAGTCTAGTGCAAGAAATAGAGAGGCAAGAGGCAAGGAGGAGATTTGATCATCAAGTTCTTCTTTTCTTCCCTTTGTTTTTGCTATTTGTATGAAATTGAACCTTATTATGATGAACACTAGTATGAGTGGCTAAAACTCATTGTTCTAGGGTCATGGGTGAAACATGAATGTTGTTGTTTGAAGTTTAATTCGACAAAGTTGGTTTATCATATTGGGTTATTTATTTAATTCTGCTTTTAATTATTTTGCTGAGTAGCTAACAGTGAAATACTATCTACGAATCTTTAGTTGAACTCGAAAGTGGGAACTTTAGATTGCATATAGAATTAAATAGAGCAAGTTCTTGAACCTGGGTGATAATAGGTGAATTTGACTATAATCACACCTTAAATTAATCACCTTCTTGTGTAGTTTTAATGCTAAAAGTGATAACAAAATGCTCTTATTAGTGCTTTTCATGATTTGCAGGTGATATATGTATAAGGAAGGCTAAGGAGCAGTTTTGGAGTCAAAATTGATGAAAAAGAGGCCAACTGTGAAATTTTCCAAGTGAACCATGCAAAACAGGCCGAAGATTCAGAGCACTGGGTCCACCGCGGTTCCACCGCGACCGCGGCAGAACCGCGGTGGAAAGCAGCTGCAGAACTTCAAGGATTCCGCGAGGGTGTTTGGCCGCGGTTCTACCGCGACCGCGGCAGAACCGCGGCAGGCGCAGAAACTTCAGGGACCAAAGTGTCAATTACGGGATTTTTAGACCTAAACCCTATTTAAAACATTAGACTTCGCCCAAGAGAGGCATGTATTGATTTTTAAGGTTTCTTAGCAAGGAAAACCATTGTGAGAGAATACTCCAACCATCTTTCTTCTTTTCTTTTGATTTTTATGATGAATTCAATCTTAGTTTATTTTCCCATAGCCATGAGTAGCTAAATTCCTTGTCTAAGGTTTTGATGGAACCTATTGGGTGATGAACTTCTTGTTTATGTGAATACAAATTGCTAGTTCAATCTCTATTTGTTCAACTTCGTGTTTGTTGTAGTTAATTGACAGGATCCTCAATTAGCTGTGCCTATTTAGTGTGCATAACTTGGAAAAGAGTGCATATTTAGGGTATTGTTGAACAACACCACTCCTAGATTATTAGAGGAATCTATAATTGCGTGTTTAAAGGCGGGATTAGGGATAACGAAGCCTTGGGTGTAATCTAAAGTGAATCGTGCTAAATAAAGTAAGCTAGTATATCTCGGGAGAGTGCAATAGTAAATTACTGTGATTACTCGGGAGAGATTTGCGGTAAGATTAGCGTTCATGATTGATAGAGAGGTGTTGGTAAAGTTGTATGAGTATAAACAGAAGGGATTCCATCAATAGGGGAAATCATTGCCTTAGCTTTTCCTCATAATTGTTTACAACCTCATTAGTTTAGTTTACAGCTATTTAGTTACTTGCAAGCTAGTCGTTAAAGAACACTCAACTGAGATTTGAATATTTGGGAAGCTGGTTCTGAAGAATTAGTGGGTCTGAAGATAGTGGTTGATAGGTTAACTCTCTGTGGATTCGACCCTGGGCGTAATACTCGGGTTATATTTGCAACGTCCGCATAGTCCTTTTTCTAAGGCATAGTTGGGCGTGATCACCGGGCATCGGGGAACGGATTAGCAATTGGGATAGACATATACCTAATTGCCTTGCTTGGTTGAAACACAGGAATTGTAAATGCATTCTTGATAATCTTAATTCCATAGACATATAGGCATTGAGTTAACTTGAATAGGCGAGTAAGAACTCGACAGATTATTATGAGCAATATTAACCCTGTCAATCAACAATCCAGATAAATCAATTAGCGTTTTAAGCCAAGAACACAACACGATTGTCAGCTAGCCCGTGACCCTGGAATATCCTCTCCTACTGATTGTTATTCGAAATTGCTGGTTGTTTGGTTAATTGTTCTAGTTAATTATTGCTTGATAGTTTAGGTAGTAAATTAGTTACATCTCCATTTTGTGAAAAACCTCTTGGATAGATAAGTTAATTGAGTTTGAATCAGTCAACAGTTAATCACAAGTCTTCGTGGGAACGATACTCTACTCACTACTTTATTACTTGACGATCACGTGCACTTGCGTGAGTGTTTTTGATCGCAACACCAACCCTAATAGGAAATTAAAAAATTTCAACTACAAAATTTCGTATGTCAAAACCAAATTTATTTCTGTTTCTGACCTTCGAGAAAATATCTCTCTTTTTCATTGATGACATTATCACATACACAAATCAGAAAGTCACAACTTAGAAACAGAAAAAAAGAAAAGAACTTAAGCCCATAGTCTTGGCATATTGGTGTAATAATAAGAAAAAGTATGAAGAGTGCATATGTTGGATTTTAAGCGTTGATATAAATCATTGTAATTGATTTGATGCTTGAGTATATTTTGGAATTGTGTTACTCGCCGATGCGTTTAGTTTTAAGTTGCTCGAGTACTAACAAGAGTTTAAGTGTGGGGTGTTGATAAATAATAAAAAATGCATAATTTTGGGTAGCTTCGTATCATTTTGTATGAGTTGTGGGATATTATATGTTTATAAATATAAAATATGCTTATTACTTATTTATTGTGTGCAGGAATGAGTTTGGATGAAAGTTGGCGACGATTACAATAATTGTTGTATTTCACATTCTTCTTTCGAGCCTAATTTGTGTGCGGATAAGTATTTACCCTAATTTGGGAAGAAGAAGATTGATAGAAATTCTTGTCTTGGGATCGATACATTGTGAAAATGCTAGCTGTGAAGGGATATTGATCGTTTATTTTTCCTTATTAAAATATTTGATTCTATTTTTGAATAGGAATGAACCGATTGATAGTTTCTCAAATTAAATTTGCTGTAATTGAAGTCCAATCGAATAATTCAAACATAACTTGAAGAAACAAACAATTTTCAATAGTTATTAAATTCCTAATGTCAACATACTAGTTACATAATAAAAGCAGTAACTCTCTTTTACCGGTTATTGAATAGGAATCCTCCTGTTTAGATCGAGTCTCACCCCACAGGTTCCATGTATGGCTCGTACCTATTTTTATCGGACCTTCTCTCTGATTCTGAGCGTCTCAAACCTGATCTTCAACCCTTGGCTGTGCAACTATATCTTTTCCTATCCGCAGCTTCGTGTTGTATCTATTGTATACATCGTTCGCAAACTTTCTTTCAACTTCCTCGTGGCTTATGAACTTTTCTCATTTAACTTGCTTGCGAATGCTATAACCGCCTAGTTATCGGGTACTCGTGGCAACATCATTCTCTCTTGCTGGAATCTATCTACGAATTCCCTGAGTAATTCTGTACTCCCTTGTTTAACCTTGAAGATATCTTCCATCCCCTTTTCAACTTTTTGATCCCCCAAATGCGCTTTTATAA